TATGCAGTGGAGCCGATTGCTTCTAATGATAATGGCAACAATTTACTCAAATTGCATTTGCATGTCGCATGTCGCTTTATCATTTCACATGCTATTTTTCATGAAATATTTCACCTCTGTCTCTCATTACTATAAGGAATCAGAATCAGAGAACAAGATTTGAGAATCCTTCAATACTGACAACCCTGAATTCTTATCATAAGTTTTCCCCTAATTATATAAGAACCTTGAGTTCCAAGCTCCGTGGAAACAATGTCCGATATTCACCATCACCGATTTTCGATCACCAAAATTTTAATTTTAAAATCTTCCCCGATTATATAAGATTACTAAGCTCGCAGCAGTTCATTGCCAGCAATGTTTTATGTTGTTGAAGGGCGCATTTTTGAGGGTAAATAAGCCAACCGTAGCTTCCTCATAAAGTTTTTTTTTTGTAAATTTTTCCTAGAGAAGCTGTTTGATGGGCTTCAAAAAAAAAGTTTTTTTTGTTGTCTTTTAATTCCCTAACATCTCTAGAATATTGTCCTTAAATCTTAATTGATCCGAGTAACAATTTTGGAGATACAACTGGAGGTCAGCTATATAGTCACTTAAAATTAAAAGCGTTCTTCTTGAAACTGTGTCAAGATTTCTCGCGCACCGATCTTTTTGAAGTTCGTCGAAATATAATTTACATGGTCATGAACGAAGAATTTCAATTACAACTATTTAAGAAAACAAAAACGTCGGGAAATTTTGCATTGTTTTGTAAAAACGTCTACTAATACGTCTAAAAAATTTTTTTTACTTTTTTTTTGTTTTTTTTTTGTCCAATACCTAATTTACGGCCTTAATTAAAACGCGTATTATTATATTTTTACTTTTGATGAACCTGTAAAAAGTTCTGCAGCCAACGCGGAGTCACATTTTTTTCGAGGAACTACCGGAAAAGACGTCGAGTTTTGAATATTTTTCTTTGAAAATGCAAAATCTTTGTAAAATATGTATCTTTGAAATAATCAAAAAGTTTGAATAAGATATTTCATTTTTTATATTAAAAAGAATTATTGAAAATCGGCCGCTTTTCTCACTCGACGAAACCCATGTAGCCCTTTAATAGAGTAGCGCATACGTTACTGTTTTCTGAGCCTTAGTTAAGAATTACTAATATCTGTTTTGGGATTTTTCATATATACAAGTCCACCAAATAATAAAGAGAAGCCTCGATTAACACTAAAGACGTTATTTAGCTCCAAATTCTATAAGTCATTAAAACTAAGAGCAACTAACTTATTGCATATTTTTTAGAAACAGTAGTCACTTCTATTCCAAAGACTTAAGAACACGATATAAATTATTTTTTAATTTCAAATTATTAGAATTTTTTCAGACCCCTTCTCTACGCCATTTCAATGAAGTATAATTATTATTATAAATCTCCAAAATAATTCTCTCTTCATATATTTTTATACTTATTTGTTTTAGTTTACATTACCGTTATATGCTTTGTACTGTCAGCTCTCATATATGTGGTCAGCTGTCACATAGTTGGCAACTGTCAGACAATATTCCGACGAGAAGCGTTTACTTAAAACAAAAATACTGCACCGTATCATTATTGTTGGTTTTGCCATAGATTCAGTGCATTAAACCGTTGTCAGTTATAGGCTGTCAAGCATACTGTCAACTCTACTAACTGCTTATATATTGCACTGCATATATATATATATATATATATATATATGTTTTATATATATTTTATATATATTTTATTAGTTTTGAAAAATTTCCGAAATTTTTATCCATGTACTTCCAAAAGTAAATACACATTGAGCAAATATTATATTATTATTTACAAAGCTTTCGTGCGCTTGACGCTCACTTTTAATACGTGCAATGCACTGGAGACAGCTCTTTGCCATATACTACTATATAGAATAAAGAAGTTTCGCAAAACTACCAACAAATACCTATGTATACTTGTATAGGCAAGTTGACTTCAAAATTGTGCAGCGCACAAAAACCAGCTGACTTGTTGCTGAGACGTCAACCACCAGTTAAGTGATATTTTCGAAACAAAGCGCCTAAAAGTATGCGACTTTCGCCAACTAGGCTCATTGAGGCACATACAACAACTAGCTATAGCATAACAACAGGCGTACAAGTAAATTTCAAACATTCTTGCATAAAAAGCGTTAAGATATTTCCAGAAAAGTTTCGCCATCATAATTTCTTCTCTGCAAAGCAATGTTTATGGTTGTGGGAAAACGTCGACGTAGGAGGCCTTAGTAGCAAGTAAAAGTGAAACGTGAAAGTGTGCGAATAAACAAAGTTCAAACAACAGCGCATAGTTGAATTTTAGGCAGTAATACAAATAAATAGAATTTGCGTTCGCGTTTGCGCCTAAAAATAGACTTCGCTAGTTTGCAAGTAGTGCAGCTGCGGTGCATGAAATGTGCCCTGTGCGTCACAAGCTGGTGTGACTAACGCGCTGGCAGGAATTTTAATGAGTTTTACAAGTTTTTAAATGCCTCCACAGAGATAAAGGTGGGAGAGTAAATAAATATGTAAAAGTAAAAATATTTGGTTTTTTGTAATCTGGATATATGTATATACATACAAGTATAATATTAGATTTTTGAAAGGAGAAATTACTCAGCTGCTTACGAAGCGCATCATACACGTATTTATTTTTGTACGTGGAATTCGACATATTTTATGTCGGTATGTAAACCTTGAGTAACCTTTTGGCATTTAATAAACGGTTGAGTTGGTTTGACATGTTCTGGAAACGATTTTGATGGATGATTTTAACTTTTTTTCATATAATTTATAATTGTCTCACTTAGCAGGCGATCACACAGTCGCTCGTTATTTGCTCACAAAACAGTTGACAATACTAGCTACCCATATATTTAGAATTCATTCTCTCTGACTAAGATGACCTTTCATAACTCGAGGACTACACCGCCGATATCAACCAAATTAGATCCGTAACATTATCCCGACATTCTCATGCTACATTGTGAAAATCGGTCTAAAACCAAGCCTACTACCCATATATCACAAATTTAAATTATAAATGAATCGTTCACTTGACGTTATGCAAATCAAGCACCTGTGAAGAAATTCGAATAAAAATTTGCAGGAATAGTTCATTCGAGGTATGTCATCTCTCACCTAGAAATGCTCGAAATCAGATCGTACATTTTCAAGCCACCAGCTACCGAATATGTAGACATCAGCGCCATATGTATGACTTAATACGGAAAATATCGGTCAATATTTGAGATATATAAATAATATTCAGAGGGCATCTTTTCCTGATAATAATGTGACCTTGTGCTAAATATGCGTAAGGTAAGGTTAGGTTATGAGGTCGATCTGAACAAGGTTCTCACTTGGACAGTTTAGAACAACGTTCCGTTCTGTTTCCTAAAGTTCCTATATAACTAAGATCATAAGATACTTACAAATCGACAAAGCGCTTCGAGCCTATCACAAATTTGTTCAGACGGCCAACGTCAGTTTCGGCTATGAATCCTGATTCGTCGATGGTACAACTACCGAGATGTTTCATCCTCTGTCTTGCAAATACGGAACAATGGAGGATGTTTTCACCTCATTTTACTCCATACAAGTATAACTTTAGCAACTTGCGTCTGTCAAGATTTTTAACCTAACCGCATGAATGCTTACTGGACAATGTCCAGTGAGAACCCCTACTATTGCGGCAAAGTGAAATTTGCTGAGGGCAAGTAATTCAGAAGTTCTCCTGCGTTCTACTCTAGGTCTAAAGGATCTTGCCATCGCACAGGAGCCGGTTGTTAACCAGCGCTGTTGAAGTAGCTTGATGCTATTTCTAGTGAGGACAGGTGGCAAGCTCAGAGCTAGTATTGCCGCTCTGCTATTGGAGTGAATGCTTATCCTGAAAGAGGCTGCACTTCGTAGCAGTACGTCTTTGATTGAATATGGATAAATCGGGTCAATACTGCCCTTAGCCCTCATATACCTAATGTAAACATTTTCTAACTTCCGCTTGACTTCATATCGCATATATCGGTCAATATCTGAGTTATCTTAATTTTAGATATCGTCCTTCTAAAACTTGCATGTCCTTATGTATGCTGTTTTCACATCAAACCTAGTCGATGACGTCACTATTCACAATCTTTCGCATAGCGTAGGTCTTTATTGTGATGTATAAATTCCTGCTTATTGCTGTTTACCAAGTGCCGAGGCGTAAAATAATTGCCACAAAAGCCGTTATTAACACTTAATGGCTGCCACTGTGTATATTGATAACTGTAGGCGTTGAAAATTGTTTAAAAATCCTTTTGTATTTACAGCAGTAATATGCATTCTTGTTATGGTTTTTCAGTGAAATACAATGGCGTGATATACAGTTATATATACTTGTAGATAAATTTGGTTCACTCAATTACTCTCCTTTGCTCGCATACTATACCCATATCGCCTGGTAGGTCTTACAAATGTGTGTTCTTTTAGTGCCGCTGTAATATCTAAATCTTGTATATGCCTCTCTATCCACTTCAATTTATACCTCCTTTTCTCTTTCTCCAACACTTTTACTGTTGCTATGTGGCAAAGTTGTGCATTTTGCAGTACCTTGCTTTGGCAATTTGCTCCATCATTCAAAGCCGCCGCAATTTGTAGGCGTCTTAAGCGTTGCTACACATTCTCATTGTGCCTCTCATTATATATATATGTGGATGTGTGTGCGTTTGTGTACCTTTGGGTATTTTTTCACATACAAACTTGCGCTGCAAATTTTCGCTTGAATAATTGTTGATCCTTTGCAAGTGGAGACGGCCCTTATTGTTTGCATTTAATCCTCATGGGTGTAATTTGATATGCTCGACTTTGTATGCAAGTTTTTACACAACCTTCGGGTGAAGGTTACAGCGAGTGTGTTCTGCTTTTGCAATTCTTTTTAGCTTTCAAGTCAACTTTGCAGCGAACTTAATTTTCTAAAGTGTGCTTTCTTTTATCTTTTACAGGTAGTCAATTGTGGGTATCAGAGACATATGTACATACATACTACCACAACATTGCGGAAATGGTGAGTAGCTGTAAAAATTTCATATATAGTATTTGCATCAATTTATATACCAAGTTTAGCGATACGATAATTTACGAACATATTGTTCTGATTGAACCACTCTACCATACAGCTGCCATACAAGCTGACCGAACAAAATCAAGATAAAGTTCCTTTTATACCCTTTTATGCTATAAGAAATGCACCTATGAAGTGTATTATAGCTTCGGTTCAACCAAAGTTAACACTTTTTCTCTTTTTCTCACTTAAGTTTATACACTGTGTACTTGTGGAAATTCTCGAATCTGTTTGAATCAAAATTGTTTAGCGTTGCCACATGTTTAATTTTCTGTTCGATTAAATTAAGTACTAAATAAAATGGAATATTACAATATGAGCATAAAACCCAACAGGTTCAAGAAAAAATTTTATTTACAAAAGGTTGCCACCTGTTTAAAAATTTAAAACAGACAAGTTATCAATGTGGATATCAAAATAACGATCTGGCTGAAATATTTATTTTAAACGTAAATATTTTTAATGTATCAATAGTATTCGTTCGCTTTAAACATACATTTTCCTAACCCTTTCAAAATAGCCCCGAAGTACAATATATTGCTTCGATATATGTCTCCGCAATTTTTTTTGGCATATATTTAGTTACAACTGTTGTTTCAAACCATTATAAATTATTCAACCGAAAAAAATAAGTTAATTTTAAATTAATTAAATTATAATGAAATCATTATTTGCACTTTTTTGTGAACTGCGTTTCATTAGAACCCCTAAAATGCCTATTTATTCACAAATATTATAATCCCATAAAGGCTTACACTCACACAAAATTAAATATAACGGCAATATTTCATGTAAATCTGCCACTAATTACAAATTGAATGAGTGAGCTTTAAAAGGCAGCCATGCAAATAAATAAATAATAAAATTTGTGAATAAAATTAATTATTATTTCATAAACTCGAAACGTGACTTCGGAGGTACGAACACGTATTTGCTCTTTTTGCATTGAATACATGTACATACATATATATATTTATAAACACAACATTTAATTTATTTTCAAATTTCGAAATATGTACCAACTACCAACACTAAGCACAACTTTATGGTTAGACAAATAATTAGCACTTGATTTCAAAGCTCGCCACTTCATGTGGGTGCTTCACTTTCCCACTTACCAAGCAATATCATAAACTTTATTATACAAATAAATAATAATATGGCAATATTTCGTCATATGTGATGCTACTTAGTTCACACCTATGAAATCTATAAAATCAAACACAACAAGCGATTAGAGCAAGGACACGGTAATAAAGCTGTGCATAAGGTGGAGTGAAGAGCCTAAGAGTGACATGACGTAGTATTCAAAACCCAATTTATTTATGTTTAATGCAACGCCTCAATTTGTGTAGGTTTTTGAATTATTCACTGCAGGGTTGCCACCAATTTTTTATTTAAAAAAATTTAATTTCTTTTTATGATAGTAAGGTAGGGTGTAAAACAATATAAAATACAAAAATTGTTCGAAAAAGTTGCCACTTATTCATATGTTTAATATAATATCAAATATTTAAAAAAATTATTTATTTGCTTTTTAAATGTTTTCTTTAATACTAAACTCTTGTTTCTGTAGAATTAAAAAATATATAGTGTTGAAATATCCGACCGAGTTGCCACTTTTTTAAATTTTTAAACAATATAATTCTTTTTGGGCGTTTAAATGTTTGCTGTAATACCAAGATGTTATTTCTAAAGAAATAATAGAGTATAAAATGTTGAAATGTACAACAGAGTTGCCACCATTTTATGTAATTTTTTTTTTTTGCTTTTTTAATTGTTTGTTTTGATATAAAAACGAGATTGCTACAAAAATGACACTAATTAAAGGCACATTTTTGGTCATATCAATAGAAATTATACAACAAATAAATACTACTACTACAAACTAATGGTTTCTTCAACAAACCAATTAACAGCACACACAAAACGTCAGCACTGGCGACAGCGGTGCTCCAACACCAATTTACCGGCTCCAGCCGTGGCAGTGGCCATTACAAAACGTATAAAGCTACTTCAGCAGCTACACAAACAGCAACGCTCTAAGCACATTTTCAGCTTAAGACTCGGGCGTTATGAAAGTGCTGCCGCGTGGCCCTTAATGTTGTTGTAGCGCACAGTTGTTGTACGTACTCATGCAATGCACAAATTCGAGACGACAACTAACTAAGCAACTAGCTGTGGTTTGATGATTTGATGATCTAATGTAGACCGTGGATTTTGTTGACCTTGACAAGTGGGGCGTTAATAAATTTCACAACTTATGACAGTTAAACAAATACGCTATAGAAAGAGAGAGAGAAAGTGCGTGAAGCATGCGAAGAGAGCGGTGTCAGTGTGGGTGCTACAAGATGTGGAGGAATATTTGTGCGTTTGTATGAAGAGATATGAAATGACAGTAAAATTCTGCCATTAAATTGCTAACAGTTAGTGAAAGATGTCATTAAAGTAAATATTTTAAGTCATAAAAATACTTCTGATTTTCTACGACTATTCTCGAAACGAATTATCTTACGCATAGCCTAATAAAATAAATTTTTAATTATATGACAATAATATAGTATATATTTATACCAATGTGAGTCCCACTCGTATGCAGGTAAAGTAAAAACCTCCCATTTAAATATAATTAAATTTTTGAAGTACCTTTTACACTGAATTGCACCTCAATATATCCGTTTCCAATGTCAGAAAGAAACACTTCTCGCTCCAATTATCTATTATATATTATTAAAAATGTCAACTTAAATTGAATAATTATTTCTAAATTCACCGGAACTTCGCATAACACAAAGATTTCATTTCCGTTGTCAATACTTGTTGTTAAGACACTTAACACCTTTGAGTGGTCTAAACTTAGCATTGCGGGCTTACTTCATATAAAAATATAAACAAATAAACCCATAAATTTCTTAGAATTTATAAATATTTTTTAAGTTGTTATCGCCGACAGTAAACATCAATACTAAATTTTTGAAACATTTGAAGAACAAAGACATTATGATTGCTTATCTAGAAAAATATCAGTCGTATAATTTCAGCGCTTCTTATCGATTTTATAGATTCATTTTAAAGTTTAATATACCACTTAATTTATAGCATTTTGCTTGTCTAGCCTGAAAAACAATTTTCTTCAAGGTAATATGATGCCAAGTGTCGTAGACCCAGCAGAAACTTATATTACACATTTTTTTGATAAAATTAAAATATATATATGTACATACATAGGTGAATGAATTTTGGAAAGCTACCGCTTTCAATATTTATGGTCATATTCCCAAGAGAACTGACAACCTGTGCAAATAACTTTGACAAATAAAGCTTAAGTTGTTATTGTTGCCTACCTTTTCGCGCGCAACAAAAGTTTGAACAATAAAAAATGTGAGAAGCTTAAGTAAGGTTGACTCATGAGGTGTACTTTTCAAGAGTAAATTTATATATATATTTTAATTTATTTAAATTTATTGTAATAATTTTCACTCAATTATTGAAAATATGAAACTTTTAGTCTGTCCGATGACATTTTAGGTTTTTTTATTTAATTTATTTGATTTTTTTTTCAATTTTAAAATGTATACGATTCTTTGACGATTAAAAGTATAAGTATTTTTTATTTTTAGTTTAAGTCACTTTATTATGTCAGAATAAATGCTTCATTCACCAAAATATAATTTCATATTAATGGGTTGCATACATTTGGGAGCGAAAGTAAATTGGTTAGTCAATAAATCCCACGTTCTAAACTGGATACAAAAAATCATATTTAGCTGGATTTACTCATATTTTGAGGCCACAATTTATAAACAGACCTTTTCAGAATTGCATATTGACTCAACCATCATTTATTGACATTAAAAGCCAATTGAGTCACAATTAATTGCTTCCCGTATTTAAATGGAAACCATCAGGAGTTCAGGGCTTTGATTTATACATTGAATCAGTTTCACATGTTTGCCAATTGAATAAAAAATTCAAATTTGTTAATTGTTTCATTGTTCATATATAAATTGAAACAATTAGTATTTGCGCAACTGAAATTTTCTTAATTGCCCAAGTTACAGCTTTCTTTCTCACACTGACCGGTCTTGAAAAGATTGGATCAAAATATCGAATAATTATATACCAACTCAATACGAATTGAAGAGTTAGTTCGTTAATTGCTTTACTTTACTGCAAATTAAGAAAGATTAAGAATTAAAAAGCTAAAATTTTTCTGTTGATCAGTGAATTATTTTCTTCCTGCCATTAAATTGGGCAGTTTTTTATTCAATTGGAAACAAGCTGCAGTTAAATTGCTGAAGTTTTCTTAATTGCTTAATTAAGAACTTTTTTCCTCTCACTTTTTGAAATGTGGAATCGGGATTTTTTTTCCTTTTTTTTACTAAATTTAGCAAAGTAATACTATTTGGATACTTAATTAGTTAATTTCTTCAGTGTTTTTTAAACTGTGAACAATTCGTGATTGTTGAATTAGATAGTTAATTAGTTAGTTTTTTTTTTTCTTTATGATAAATTCAAAAGAATTAGTGGCTTAAAAGGTGAGATCGGGATTTTTTCACTAATATTATATTGATGTTAATTAATCCATCGCCTAACTGTATGGTAAATTGATAACAGTTAGCGATTAATAGCTTAAATTTTCTTAATTTCCTAATTAAGAGCTTTACTCCTCTCATTGAACATCGAACATTCACTCATTTTGTCTACATTTAATATTAATTGAACAGTGAGTTATGTAATTGCCTAATTGTAATGCAAATTGAGAACAATTAGTGAGTAAATAGCTGGAATTTCTTTAATTGCCCAATTAAGTGCCTTTTTTCTTTCATTTAACACTCCATGAAAGGTGGAATTGGGATTTTTAGACTAATATAATTTAATTTAAAACTACTTTAATTCGTTAATTAGTTTATTTCTTCTTTGCTTTGTAAATTTAGAACAAT